CCCGCGCGGCTGCCACAGCGCAGCTTCACCCAGGTCGCCCCGCCCTCCTAGCAATGGTTTTCCCACTAGCTTGGACACACGCCACACACCGCCCCTGGAGGTACAGCCTGCTTCGTGTACTTGGAAGATAAGGCCGTCCCTCGGTGGCCTTCGGCGTACTTCAGGCGGCAGCTGCCGTGCCCCCCTGTGCAGCACCCCCCTGGATCCCCCCGCTTCGTTGGCGATGCTCACCACGCCTGCCTGGCTTTCTCCTCTAGCCCATCTGGCCTGGCGCTGTGCCGTTGTTGACGGGGCCGGCTCGCGGTCGTCCGGGCCTACCACGTGCATTGTCTGGAAGACTTTTGGGTGCTGTGACCGCGACGGAGTGGTTCAGCCTTTCGCAGCCGCAGCAGCACCCCGGGTTCATTCCCCCTCTTCCGGCAGGTTGCGTCGTTACACGTTCCTCGGCAGCTCAGATCCCCTAGCCAGCACACGTCGTTGGGACGGATTGGGTCTGGCGCCTCATTGGCGACTCGCTCATCGGGCTTCGCGCCTGCCCCCATGACGGGCACGTCTGAGCACGTCATGTCTCTGTGTGGGTTATGCCTCACGGCAGGCAGCGAATTGTTCGACATTTTGTCAGACTGCACGTGCCCGAGCTTCCCAGGATGTCCCCTGCCGTCAGCTCCCCGCACAGCCCCGCGGCTGCTTTGTGAGTGGGCCGGCCAGCTTGCGGCGCGTCTTGTAGCTAATTAGGCTTGCCCGTCGGCCCGGACACCCTGTTCGCCGCGTGCGCTCTTCGCTCGTGGCCGCGACCGAAAAAAATATCCCCATCAGTCCTTTCAGATGCATTGCCCACGAGAGCTGACGGGAAAAGGGGCGAAAAGATACATCGAGGGAAACAAAACGAGCCACCAGGGTGAACCGAGAGATCTCTGGGAGCAAGGGGGTGACCTTGGAAGGCCTCTTCGGGTCATCCCTGGGGGCCGCGTGGGGGCGAGGGGAAGAGGAGGATGAGGATGAGGACGAGGAGGAGGAGGAAGAGGACGAGGAGGACGGGGAGGACGAGGACGCGGATGAGGATGAGGACGAGGACGAGGAGGACGAGGACTAGGATGAGGACGACGCGGACGAGGACTCATGGAACCATCTAAAGGTATTCTTGCGGCTGCTGCTGTTGCTGCTGCTGCTGCTGCTGGTGTTCTCTGGGAATTTGGGGGGCCCTCTTGGAACCACCTTGGGATCATCTTGGAGGCCATCGATTGCAGGATGGGGGGTCCCCAACTTAGCTCCCCCTTCAGGAGCCCGCAGACCGCTTCTTGGGGCTCTCTTGGAACGCTCTTGGGCGCTCTTGGAGCGGTTCTGGGGCCGTTTGGAGCATCTTGGGAGCCATCTTGAGCTAGCTTGGGCTATCTGAGCCATCTTGGAGGTCATCTTGGGCTCTCTGAGGCCGCTCGGGGCCTCTTGGGGCCGTCTTGGGACCCTCTTGCCACCCTCTAGGGGCCCAAGAGGGGCTGTCTTGGGGCTCTCTTGGGAGGCTTTGAGCGCCTCTTTGTGCCGTTTAGGAGACCATCGATCAAAGGAGGGGGGTCCCAGATTTGCCCCCCCCCCCCCCCGGGGGTCACGATCCTGAAGGATTTCAACAATTGGCCCTCCCAGGGGTAGAACAAGGACTCTCTGCCACCTCGCGGGGCGCCCCGTCCAGGTCCAGGGGAGGGGTATGGGGGAGGGGTAAGCCCCTCCTCGAAGGGGAAGAAGGGGTTGTGGACGAGGAAAGACAGAATATCGTTAGACCACCTGTCGCCCAGAGGGCTGGTGGGATTGCGGTATTCACAGCTGCATATGGTTGGGTCTTTCGCCAGCATCATTTTTTTTGTGTTTTGCCTTTTGCGGTCTCAGGGGGCCGAATTCGGGCCCCGGGATCGTCGAACACGGCTCTGGGTAAACGCGGCACCAGGGGGACCCTGGGAGGGGTCTGGACACCGACTTGGAGCGGATTTGCCTTCCTCCGCCCTTCCTGACCGATGTTCTCGGGGCCCATCGAGTTCAGAGCACCAGGCCGCCTCCCACCCTTTGAGAAGTTTCTCAGGGTGGAGGGCCCAGGGTGAAAAAAAAATCCGTTTTGTGATTCACCTCGAAAATAAATCCGTTTTGTGATTCACCTTCTGCAGACTTGAGCCTCGAGAGTCCACCGAAAAAGGCATTCCAGATTTTCACCCTTTGTCCTCCGCCCAGAGAAAATGCTCAGACCCTGGCCAATCGACCAGCAAGCCAAACGTGCTAGGTAGTCGAGCGCGGCACGGGGCCCGCGGGGGACCCGCACGCCAGCCCGCACGCCAGCGATCCGTGTCCGCCGCTCGTGAGTTACGCGACGGTCGTTGAAAGTAGGTCTTCCCATAATTATTCCCATATCCCAGTCTACGTCACGCGCCTTCACTCACCACCCACCAAACCACCCCAACCCAACCCGAAGACCCGAATTTCGGGGAACCCGAAATTCGGGCGAAATTCGGGTCTTCGGGTTGGGTTGGGGTGGTCTGGTCGGTAGTCATTCACACCTCAAGAATCGCTATGCTTTTGCTGTACTTTATTGCCCTCTGGGAGGGCCTGAACCCAACCTACTTCGTCCGCCTTCCCTCTTCATGCTTTCACTTGCCTCTTCCGACCGACGTGTTACATGCGGTTGCACGCAGAGGGGGAGGGTCGGGGCCTCTCGGCGCTGGCGCCGCGCAGGTTCCCCCAGTTCTTCGTGTATGGCACCAAGGCCTCCTCGCCGCCGCCGGGCCGCCCTTCCCCCCGCCGGCCGAGGGCCCGGGGCCGAGGGTCCCAGAAGCCCGGGCGTCGCAGACAACTCCTATCCCCCTCCTCGTCGTCCCCCTCCCCCCTCCTCGCCCTTCCCCGCCTCGTCCTCCTCCCCCGAAGTCCTATCCCCCTCCTCGTCGTCCCCCTCCCCCCTCCTCGCCCTTCCCCTCCTCGTCCTCCTCCCCCGCAGAGCTCCAGAAAAATCTCGTCGCTGGGGGCCTGACATGCCGGTCCTGCGGTGCTGCGCGCCTGGGTCTCGCGCCTCCTGTCGCTCCGGGGGAGGATGAGAGGGTCAGGGAGTTCGGCGGCCCCCAGACGGTGTGGTGGCCACACCGTTTGGTGAGTCTCAGGCAATCGCAAAGATGGATCAATCTGCGGCAATCGCCGAAGTG